CCCCGATTTCCTGAAAGAATAATCACGATAAAATTAGCACAAATCGTGAAAATCTGGATCAATCTCTCCGTTGTGCGGAGAAAATAACTTTGGCAAACGTTTCCAGATTAATCTACGTCATGATTTACGATTAAATTGCAGGTAACGCGTCTAGACGTCGCCAAGTGTATTATTAGTGCTGTAGAAACAGATGAGTATCTTTCGTAATTAGTTTTTTATAATTATAAGCTGTTATTAATTATTAATGGAAGAAGTAAATGTCTGATCGGAACGAGAGCTCCGAATGTGAGGGCAAAACATTTAAAATATTCAAGTATAATAGTGTCAATTACTTATTTTATCTTGCACCATTTAAATCTTACCGACGCGGCAAGTAATTATTCATGATGCTTGAAAATTATCGAACGGCAAACGGATGAGTAATTCTCGGGCGATCTGAGAGAATCTTTAATCGCGTGAATCAGCCTTAAGGCAACAGGTTCGATAGCGTAGAGGATATCCATCGGGAGAGGTACGTTGAGCCATCGGACGTCCATTACTCATGAATCGCGGTCTGCAGCCGGAATCCTTGCAATCCCGTAACCGCCGGGGCGGTTAGATGAAGAGGTGGCGGACTCAAAGGCCAAAACAGATTGCGCACCCTGATGGCGCCGTTCTGGATGGCCGAGTGCGAGCCATGAGAGATAGGGAACGCGCGGGAGACAGATGAATATAATATGGGTTAATGATGTAATTATGTTGTCTCTCGCCGTAATACGGGTTTAACCGTACAGCCGTTGCTGCTCTTAGTAGACTTCCGGTGTTTAAGCATGCACGAGAATGACGGTGATTTGCACGATGATGTTCGTGGAAAAATTTCTAATGGAATGCTCGTCTTTCGACGATCGTCGGAAAAGTGTTCTCTCGAGTGTTACGAGTGTTCGCTAAAACGACAAGATGTTACATTAAGTTGTAAAAAAAAAAAAAAAAAAAAACAATTCTCTTCGGCATGTTTATTCTTCTGAATTGACTTTTTTTGTATATTTGTAACATTCATTTATGAAATAAAATAATATTATGAAATTATATAAAAAACAAATGTTTTACTGGCGTACAATTTTTGTTCAGCTACATTTTGCAAAAAGCTGTACACATTGCTTCCTTTTTAATAAAAATGCGCATAAAATACTGTAAATAATACTAATATCATATTGAATTAAAATTTAATTTGTTATATTTAAAACACACAGCCTTACGGCAATATATTATTCAATGGAAATGTGAAAGCTTTTATTAAAATCATGTTTTTCCTCATAAATTAAAAAAACTATATTTTATAAATCTCTATATTTCCATACAGCTATTTATGTTGCATCAATTGTTAGTTCGAGACCTCACAAATTCACCCCTATTTCCGACGTAAATCCCTCCTCGTTACTCCACGGGGGGATTTGCCCCGCGGAGATGAGAGAAAAAAAATCTGAACGCACGTGAAGGTCCGGAATTCCTTCTCTTCCGTGGGCGATTGCCGGGACGACGATGGCGATGTGCGGCAAAATAAAGATGTCGGTGACGATGAAAGAAGATGACACGGTCGGCATAATGGAGGGCCTCCGACGCCCTCGAGGATGTGTATACCACGAGAATGTGTCTACAGAAGGGAGATGAGTCCACCAGCCTCAGGCGATAGACGGAGCAGAGCTGACATGTCGCGACTGCAAGAGAATAAGTAAGAGAGAGCATCAGGAACTTACTTTATAATCGGAGCATGATTCGCATAGGAATTTCGGTTACGGCGCTGAGAAAGGGTTGGCAAAGAAAAACGCGCGACGCTTTTGAGGAGCCTAAACGCCGGTGTTTGTTACATTAATCTTTCGTCAGACAAATCAATAGAGATCATTCATCTCGCAGTTACGATAATCATCATCGCGAAGGATTTAACGAGCGTCAGAAATACGCGCGCGCGTCGAAAATATACGCCGATTTCGAGTCGCCGCCCGTCGAGTTACGATCTCATTTAATTAGGTGCTTTTTCCTACAGCCGCATGCGGAATTGAAGCCAAGACGGATAAGATCGGGCAGTATCGTCAAAGTGGACCGTCGCGAGGTAAAAGATCTTACGCGCTACTACCTGATCACGATCGCGCGTCAGACACGTGTAAACTGCGACGTTGATGGCAGACGTTAAAAAAAAGTAACATTACGTTCTTTTAAGTGATAAGATAAACTTTCAAGATTTTTATTCTTTTTGTTGAAATTTTCCATCACGAAATAAAATAATTGTTTCTCCAAAAGATTTAATTAAAAATGATTAATGCAGGAAAATATATTATATTTTTGCAAAGTAGTTACATTTGAGATATAATATCTTGGTAGGAACATTCACGGATATTTGCGACCCTTCATTAGACCGCAATCCGCGTAAGATCCTCAATCAGCCGACGGAAATGGCGTCTAGATCGGAGATGAGATTTTCCACGAATCAAGTCGGATCGTTCCGCCTTCGCAAGTCAGATGCACAATCTAAATTTCTGCCAACGCTTTGACTGCTGATGAAACCAATTTTTGCTTAGACCGACAGAGCTCGAAAGCCAGCTCCAAGCCACCGTCTTCCGCAATGTTGAACCTCACTAATTAGCGTTTTCGCGGTTTATCCCATCCGCTTTTGCTCTATTTTCTCTACCTTCTCAAGTAACTGGAGTTTCAAATCTTTACAAGTTTCCTACCGAAAGAGAAAGAGAGGTGGGGTGAGAGGGAGGAAAAGGAAAGAGAGAAACATTACAATGTATCCGTTACATAAATAAATTGTGTTTTGCAAAATAATGTACAAAAAATTAATGAAGCTCATAATTAATAATATGATTTATAACAATGACTATATCGATAAAATATGAGCATTTTTTTTATTTCTTGATATATGAAATATATAAAATATAATAATGCAACTGATACATTTATTGCAGAAATATAAATACTTGGGTGCTTATTTCTACATCTCATATGTATTTTAGATACACTACCATTGTTATCGTCATTTCTTTCATTCTCATAGCGCAATATACCCCAAATTATTGGTTTGATTTACATATTCTAACATTCTATTGCTAATTACTTCATGATTACAGTTTTCAACGTTTTATATTAAAACTTTTTAGTATTTATATTAAAATAGGCAAATATTTTTAATATTTTAAATTTGCTACAATTTACTGTCTTTTTATTTTTGTTAGAAAAAAGCATTTTTCCGTTTCACTAACATAGAAAATATTAAGATAAATAAAAAAATAAGTAACAAACATAAATTTTTATAATAAAATACGTTGACCGCAAAAATCAGCCGAAAAGTTTAATTAATTCCGATCACTCTTTTTAAGCAGGAATAAATCGCTATAATTCTGCTTACCCAACTTGATAATTAAACGTATCTTTTTTTTTCAATTTTAGGAAGCGTAATGAATATTTGTGTAACGTAATTAAATAAAACATGGGTTTCTTATATATATATTTTTTATGTATATATATTATAAATGTTATAATTATTATCACATGCTTTATTTATCTGTGTGAATATATAATCAATCTCGAATTATGTTTGAATAATTACATGAATCTCCAAATATGTGTTATTTCCACGTGCAAATCTATGTGTCAAAAGCTCATTTATGACGCAAACAATAATATTAAATTCGTAAAAAATTTGAGAAATTTTTAAATACGCGTGATATTAAAATAATAAAACGATACAATTTCCTACTTGTAAAACCTTAGATACAACATTAATTTCATAGTTGAGAAATTTTTTCAATAATAATATTAATATTAATATTAATAAAACATAAAAATGATAAAATAATATAACAAAATACTGCTACATGCTTGAATTATTTTAGAGATGACATTAAATTCGTAATCGAGAAATTTTTAAATAAGCTTAAAATGATTAAATAATACAATCTAGTACCTGCTTATAATACTTTAAGACAACATTAATCATGATGGAGGAATTTTTATATCAGCATAACATCAAAATAATAAAAGAAATGAAACAGTATTTTACACATAATGCTTCAGAATATTGTTACATTATTTATTAGAGATTCAAATATAGACGGAACATTTGCACAGATAATATATTGTAAACATAATTTGTTGAAATATTTGACATATGTCCGGCGGTATTCATACTCTTCTCTTCTTTTCGTATTTAAAAATTTTTATATGCTTTCTTCTACATGTTCACGAATATTAAAAAATTTAATGTGGCAATACTTATTTTCGCAAGACATACATTTGTTCGAATATTCGGTTATTTTGTACAAAATTGTCACAATCTCTCTTTAGTTATGATCTTTAAAACATGAACGTTATGTTTGTTTCTTGCGCATATTCGAACTTTTACTTTTTACAGGATTATTCAAAATTATTTCATAAAGTCATATAAAATGTAGACGTGCGAACTTTTCTAAAGATATTAACACAAGCATTGTAAAAAGAAACTAAAAAATATACATTTTGTACATGGATTTGAGAAATAGTGTCTTCTTGTGCACAAGAAAACAATACATCTATGTCCAGCTGCGACATATATAATCCTCCAGTTCTTTCTTAAGACAATTGTTATAGATTTGCTAAGAGGTCTAACGTCTATTTTTTTCACGATAATACTGTACAAAAAAGTAATATTGTTATGTTGCATTGCAAAATATATAATCAATAGTTTCTTTCTTCAAATACTGAGTGACGTAGACAGATCCGTTTTAAGCTGCAGAATACGATTCGATAAAATTACAGAAACATTTCTAACATATATTTCGAATAAGTACTAATTGTTTGAGTTTTGTTTGTCTTTTTATATATGTACTGAGTACGTCACTCGAAGATTCGTCATTAGAGAAAAAATTTGTTGTATTCATGAAATCGGTTTAGTTTTTATAAATGTCAGTAGTAACACAGTATTTGATTTTAAAGCATAATTTAAAGAATATTATGTTTTAAAGTAATGACTATAATTATATATATAATATATAAATTTAAACAATTTTGTTCAATTATAAATTTATAAATATATATGTATTTAAATTTACCAATCTTATATATTTATAAACACAAAACCGATATGCGACAAATAAGTCAAATTATACGTTAATGTCTTCATGTAGTTCAAATCACTCAGGTCCAAGTCAAGACTGTCGTTATCGCTGGTCATGAGATGCTACTTGAAAACGTCGCTACCATCATTTCCATTGTCCAATGTAGATAAATCTGTATAAACATTTGTAATATATTAAAGCAAATATTAATTATTTGATTTTTGTTGTTTTTATCATAGTTTGATTGAGTACACCACTACAAGAATAAAGTTTTATGACAAATATTACTAATAAATAATAATTAATAAAATATGATTAAAACTTACGATCGTTTTTCTTTCAACTTGCGTAGCTTGTCGACGGTTTAGCTTGGTCGTGTACTGTTCTTTGTACCAAATCTATTGGACGTATTTTTTCCCGTTCCTCTGGATGTTCAGATGTTATGTGGTTTTCTAAATTTTCCGGGGCCCATTCAATGTTTACTTCATTTTTACATAAAGTACAACTTGCAACTTTTACATTCTGTTTCACGTATTTAAGTGCCCAATGAGAAACGAATTTCAGCTTATGTGAAAAATGATTTGTGTGAGGTAGTCCGTTTTTTTTTAAACATATGATGCATTCTAGATTTGTTATATCTAATTTTGAATCATTTATGTACCTTATATAATTCCACTGAGATTCGTTGAAGATATCAGGTATATTTTTTTTTCTTCAAGCGAGTGAAGATCACTATGCTTGTTCTTCATGTGTTCCAAAAATTGTGTATGTGTGATATATGGTATTTTGTGTTCGCAAAATTTACATTGTGCTCGAAAATTTTCAGTATTTATATAACATTTTGCCCACCATTTGTCATCCGTGTAATTTGTGTTCCATGTAATTTCGAAACTCCACAATGAGTTTTCTTTGACTATTCCATCCCATATTTTTTTATGTACACCACTTACATGGACTTTTAATGCATTAGTTCTCGCCATCAGGGTTACAATTTCTCCACAAATCGTACATGTCACATTATCTGTGTTTTGTCTTGCGTATTTGAAAGTCCAATTTTTATATTTACCTGGTTCTAGACCGTCTGTAAAATATTTTTTACATGATTTTCTGCTTCGTCATATGGTATCGTTTTAACACATTCCATACATTGTACTTTATCTGTTGAATTTGATTCCGTAAACCTTAAATATTGCCAGGTTACGCTACGTGCCTTCATTTTAGTGACTTCAGCGTCGTGAATTACTTTATGTTCCTTCTTCATATGATTCTGAATGGGTTCACTCTTGACATATGCAAGTTCTGTGTTGCAAAATTTACATTCTGTTAGAAAATCCACAGGCTTTTTATAACATTTATTCAACCAATAGTTGTTTTCAATTTGAAATTCCCAAGATTGTTTATATCGTTCCTCTATTAAGTGGCTCTTTTCTTCATGTTCTTTTGAGATGTGCTGTTTCATTTTACTAATGTTTACAATAAATTCTGTTTTTGTACCATTTGTACAAAGCTTACATGTAGCAGAAAAATCTGTACTTCGTTTCAAATATTTCCAACCCCATTTTTCGTTTTTATGGTATCCTAGATTTCGTTCTAGTTTTGAATGCTTTTTTACGTGTTCCGATAAGTTTTCATTTTGTGAAAATTGAATTGGGGTATCACATACATCACATATAATACATGCTTTGTTTTTTTCTGTTGTTAGTCTAAAATATTTCCAGTCTTTGTTATTTATTTCACTCTCTTCATGATTATAAAAATCTAAATGCGCTTCACGTATGTGCTTTTTAAATTCCTCATATTTTTTAAACTCCACGTATTTTAAAATTTCTTTGCATGATGGTTCTAGACACTGTACTCGAAAATTGGCCGTTTTAGTAAAACATTTCTCTACCCAGGGGTGCCTTTGTTGAATTCGCTCTTCAAAACTCATTGTGATCTGATCTGTATGATAGAACGTATTTAACTGAACATGATGCGAGCATTACTTCGTTGAAAAGTGTCTGATAGAGGAGATCGAGGAAAGAGACTTACAGTTTTTCTGTTTGTATGTAAATACTGACAACCTTCAAACCTACCTAAAAATTATCAAGACAAACGGTAGGATCCGATGAGAAATATGTATAGTAAACGATTTCGGGGGAGCAAGAGCGCTCTTGCGCGTGATAGAGTGAGAGATGATGGGAGAGTGAGAGAGAGGGAGAGAGAGCGAGAACGATGATATGGTGGAGAGAGAAAGAGGGTCAGATAGAAGCAATACAGCGCGTTCGTCACGCAGATAAATAATGTTTTCAGAAATAATGTACAAGAAATTATGAAGATTATGGTTAATATAATTAATACTATGATCTATATATATATATATATATGATTTATATATTATTGATTACGTCGATAAAATATGAACAATTTTCTAATTTATTTAAATATAAAATATAATATTGCAATTGAGATACATTCTCATTGCAGAAATATAAGCACTTACATGCCTATTTCTTAATCTCATTTATATTTTAGATACGCCACCATCATTATCATTTCTTCCATTTCTCATAACGCAATATACTCCAAATTATTGGTTTAATTTTCATATTTTAACATTTTGTTGCTATTTACTTCATGACTACAGTTTTCAACGTCTTAGATTTAAACACTAGTATATATATTAAAATAGGCAATTATTTAATATTCCAAACTTGCTATAATTTACTGTATTTTAATTGTTTGTGAGTAAAAAGCATTATTCCAATTCAGTAACATAGTAAATATTTAGACAAATAAAAAAGTAGGTAACAAATATATATTTTTATAATGAAATACATTGACCGCAAAAATGGGCCGAAAAGTTCAATTAATTTACTATTATAAAGTATTAAGTACTATTATAAACATCATTGTTATAAAGCAAGAATAAATCGCTATAATTCTGCTTATTCAACTTGATAATTAAACTAATCTTTTTTTTTTTTTTTTCAATTATAGGGACCGTAATGAATATTTGTGTAACGAAATTAAATAAAACATGAGTTTATATATATATTTTTTTAATGTATATATTTTATAATATTATAATTATTATCACATGCTTTATGTATCTGTGTGAATGTAAAATCAATTTCGAATTATATTTAAATAATTACACGAATGTCCAACTATATGTTACTTTCACTTGCAAATCTTTGTGCTCAAAACTCATTTATTTTGCAAAAAATAACATTAAATTCGTAAAAAATTTGAGAAATTTTTAAATAAGCGTAACATTAGAATAATAAAACGATACAAATGATTATTTGTAATACCTTAGATACAACATTAATTTTATAGTTGGAAAATCTTTAAATAGGAATAACATTAAAATGATAAAATGATAAAATCTGCTACTTGCTAGAATTATTTTAGAGATAACATTAAATTCGTAATCAACAAATTTTTAAATAAGCTTAAAATGATTAAATAATACAATCTAGTATATGCTTATAATACTTTAAGACAACATTAATCATGATCGAGGAATTTTATATCAGCATAAGCATAACATTAAAATAATAAAAGAAATGGTACAGTATTTTACACATAATGCTTCAGAATATTGTTACATTACTTATTAGAGATTCAAGTACAGACGGAACATTTGCATAGATATATTGTAAACATAATTTGTTGAAATATTTAACATATGTCCGGCAGTATTTGTACTGTTTCTTTCTCTTCGTATTTAAAAATTTTCATATGCTTTCTTCTACATGTTCACGAATATTCGTCAAAGCACTCAAGTGATTTTTAATAACATGGATAGTATGTTTGTTTCTTATGCATTTACGAATGTATCCAAACTTTTACTTTTTACATGATTCTTTAAAATTATTTTACAATGTCATATAAAATGTAGACGTGCGAACTCTTCAAAGGTATTTACACAAGCATTGTAAAAAGGAACTAAAGAAATATACATTTCGTACATGGATTTCGAAAAATACTATCTTCTTATGCACAAAAAAACAATCTTCTATGTCCAGCTGCGACATATATAATCTTCCAGTTCTTAAGATAGTTGTTACAGATTTGCTAAAAGTTCTAACGTCTACTTTTTTCACGATAATACTGTACAAAAAAGTAATTATGTTATGTTGGATTGCAAAATATATAATCAATAGATTCCTTCTTCAAATATTGAATAACGTAGACATATCTGTTTTAAGCTGTAGAATGCGATTTGATAAAATTTACATAAACATTTGTAACATATATTTCGGACAAGTACTATCTGAGTTTTTTATATATGTGCTGAGTACGTGACTTGAAGATTCGTCATTAGAGAAAAAATTTGTTATATTCAAGAAATCGGGTTAGTTTTTATAAATGTAGTAACACAGTATTTGATTTTAAAACATAATTTGAAGAATATTACATTTTAAAGTAATGTCTATAATTATGTATATGATTTAAAAAATTTTAACAATTTTGTTAAGTTATAAATTTATAAATATGTATGTATTTAAATTTACCAATGTTATACATTTATAAACACGAAACCGATATGCGACAAATAAGTCATTTATAAATTATAGACCAAAGAGCGTGCCGCGTGCGATAGAGAGAGAGAAAGAGAGTTGTCGAGCGGGAGAGAGGGAGTGAGAGCGAGAACTATGATATGATTGTGAGAGAAAGAGGGGCAGACAGAAGCATTACAGCGCGTTCGTTACGCAGATAAATAATGTTTTCAGAAATAATGTACAAGAAATTAATGGAGATTATAGTTAATATAATTAATACTATGATCTATATGGCTACACCGGTGAAATATGAGCATTTTTCTAATTTATTTAAATATAAACCTTAGTATTGCAATTGAGATGCTTTCTCATATCAGAAATATAAGTACTTACATTCTTATTTCTTCATATCATTTATATTTTAGATACACCATCGTTATCGTCATTTCTTTCATTCTCCATCGTAATATACACCAAATTATTGATTTGATTTTCATATTCTTACATTCAGTTGCTAATTATATCATGACTACAGTTTTCAACGTCTTAGATTTAAACACTTTAGTATTTATTATAAAATAAAACGAATAAATAATATTTCAAATTTGCTACAATTTACTATCTTTTTATTGTCTGTGGATGTAAAACAGTTTTTCGTCTCAATAAGATAGAAAATATTTAGTTAAATAAAAAAGTAACAAATATAAATTTTTATAATGAAATGTATTGACCGCAAAAATTGGTCGAAAAGTTTAATTAATTCCGAACACTGTTATGAAGCAAGAATAAATCGCTTTAATACTGCTTATTCAAATTTGATCAAAATTTAACGTTTTTTTTCTTTCAATACTTGGGAGCGTAATGAATATTTGTATAACATAATTAAATAAAACATGATTTTTCTATATATATATATATTATTTTTTTTTTATTGTATATGTATTTTAAATTAGTTAAACTAATTTTTATTCACATGCTATACGTATCTGCGTGAATATATAATCAATCTCGAATTATATTTAATAATTACAAGAATCTCCCAATATGTGTTATTTCCACGTACAAATCTATGTGCCAAAAGTTCATTTATCACGCAAACAGTAACATTAAATTACGCAAAAAATTTAGAAAAATTTTTAATTACGCGTGACATTAAAATAATAAAACGATACAATTTCCTACTTGTAATACCTTAGGTACAACATTAATTTCGTGGTTGAGAAATTTTAAATAATAATAACATTAAAATGATAAAATGATAAAATTTGCTACGTGCTATAATTATTTTAGAGATGACATTAAATTCGTAATCGAGATCTTTTTAAATAAGCTTAAAATGATAAAATAATACAATCTAGTGCATGTTTATAATACTTTAAGACAACATTAATCATAATGCAGAAATTTTCATTTCAGCATAAGCATAACATTAATGTAATAAAAGAAATACAGTATCTTACACATAAAGCTTCGGAATATTATTACATA